CCCGTGCTTGTACGGCAGCTGTAAATGACTGTAGCGTTATGAAGCGAAGAATTGCGCACTCTCTGACATGTAAGCTGACGCGCTTTTTCGAGAGTAATACGTAGAAGTTAGATGTAGAACGCGTTTTACGTCGGCGTTGAGCCATTTATCTTTTGAGTAAAATAACCGCCGACTGCCCTTACCACGATGAAACACTGTCTCATATCTTGGCTATTTCTACACTTTGCTTCTTTTGTAGCCGACATCGAGCTGGCCGAATGGGGTCGCAGAGAAATCGAGATCGCCGAGAACGAGATGCCTGGTTTAATGAAGCTTCGTCAACAGTATGGGGAATCAAAACCACTTAAGGGCGCACGGATTGCTGGTTGCCTTCACATGACTGTACAGACAGCCGTGCTCATTGAAACCTTGGTTTGTTTGGGTGCCAAGGTCCGATGGTCGTCCTGCAACATATTCAGTACTCAGGATCATGCGGCTGCTGCCATCGCCAAGACGGGTGTTCCAGTTTTTGCGTGGAAGGGTGAATCCGAGGAGGAGTATGTTTGGTGTATGGAACAAACACTGGAATTCGAAGATGGTCCCTTGAACATGATTCTGGACGACGGCGGTGACCTAACAAATCTCGTGCATGACCGTTACCCTAAGTACCTTAGCGGCATCAAGGGAATTTCCGAAGAGACAACAACTGGTGTTCACAATTTGTACAAACGCCTTGCTGCGGGCACCCTTAAGGTGACATCTATGAATGTAAACGATTCTGTCACAAAGGTATGTCCTATGTTTCCATTTTAAATTGCCTATAGAGTAAATTTGACAATCTTTACGGATGCAGAGAATCACTAGTGGATGGCATTAAACGAGCGACCGATGTTATGTTGGCGGGAAAAGTAGCGTTTGTGGCTGGTTATGGTGATGTTGGTAAGGGCTGCACCCAGGCCCTCAGGTTATATGGTGCGCGCGTTATAGTGAGCGAAATCGATCCAATAAACGCCCTACAGGTAATTTCTATCTGCTTAACTACATATATAATTATGTCAACTCAAGTAATGCAATTTCTCACGTTCTATCCTTCTTCTCGGACTATTTAGGCCGTAATGGAGGGCTTCGAAGTTACGACAATCGACGAAGCCTGCAAGGAGGCCAGAATATTCGTCACGGCTACCGGCTGCAAAAACGTCATTCTCGGAAAACACTTTGAACAAATGAAAGAAGACAGCATTGTATGCAACATCGGACACTTTAACTACGAGGTCGATGTGTCTTGGCTGGATGAGAACTGCGTCGAAAAGGTCGAGGTAAAGCCACAGGTGCACCGCTACACTCTAAAGAATGGTCGCCATATTATCGTTCTAGCGGAAGGACGCCTGGTTAACCTGGGCTGTGCTCACGGTCACCCTTCTTTTGTCATGTCGAACTCATTTGTCAATCAAGTTCTCGCGCAGATCGAACTGTTTACGAAACCCGAAAAGTACCCTCTCGGCGTCCACTTCCTACCAAAGAAGGTACGTTGAGCAATGTAATGATAGATGACTAAGGACAAGGCGACAAACGATTTTAACGGTCGGGACTTAACCCTTAAATTTCTTTCCTTTTAGCTCGACGAGGAGGTTGCAGCCGCGCATTTAGATCAGCTAGGCGTCAAGTTGACAAAACTTACCAAGGAACAGGCTGAATACCTGGGTATCAATCCAGATGGTCCTTTCAAGGCTGACCACTACCGCTACTGAGACAATCGTCAGTTTAATTTGACAGAAACCTATCATGTTGTTCTTACGCAAGATAAACTTCCTTCAAAAGAATAATTCAAAATATAACGGCTTATATATTTGTAAAAACCAC